TCTCACTCACTCACTCACTCACTCACTCTCCCACTCACACAGACAGGCACATCATCGACGACACACGCACACGCACACGCACACACAAACTACGAATACAATGACACAAGATAACAATCAATCTGGCCACGGCCTGTTTCCACTAACCATTTGTCTACTTGATTTTTATATGTTTGCAAACTGCAAGGTTCGGGATACTTTAAACTATTAGGTAACTTTGAGAACATTATTTTTGCAATGTATTGTGGAGAAGTTTTATTTATCGATTTATTCACTTTTGGCAATTGGATACCAATATTAACTGAAAATCTAGTTGGATAGTTGTGAGTTGGTTGGCAAAAAATATATTGTTTATTCTTAAAAATATATATTATTAAAGATCTAGTATATAGCTGGGAAATATTAAGTACTTTGAACTCATCAAAAACTGTTTCAGAGGGATATCGAATAGGTTTGTGGAGTGCAATCTTGATTATTCTTTTTTGAATAATTTCTATTGGTGCAAGTATACTTTTGTATCCTCCACCCCAGGCCAGATTTCCATATTGCAAAACAGATTGTACATAAGCATAGTAGACATTCTTTAACAAATTAATTGGTAAAATATTTGATAGGTTTGCAAAAACAAAGATAAATTTACGTAGCTTGACCCTGATTTGATTAATATGGCCAGACCATTTTAAACGTCGATCAAATATCACACCTAAATATTTAAATTCACTGACACATTCAATACTTTCACACTTGTCACACACATTGCCAGCGCTACAACTATGTAGTTTTAATTCTAGGTTTCTAGGGTCGTAGTCAGCTCTGAGGGAGATTGGCATATACTTAGTTTTAGATATATTTACAGTGAGTTTATTTTGATCGAACCATCGCTTGACGGTGAGTAAGCCCCGCTCCGCACCTTGATACACCTCCTCCCAGCTATCGCCCTCAAAGAGAAGAGCGGTGTCGTCGGCATACAGGAAGATCTGGCCAGCTTCCAGATTAATTTTACCAAGGTTATTGATATATATTAAGAATAAAAGAGGTCCCAAATTTGATCCTTGAATTACTCCATAGTCAATGTTTTGTTGTGTACTACTCTTTCCTAAAATGGAGACTATTTGGGAACGATTAGAAAGGTAATTTTTAAACCAATTATAAGCAGTATTTCTTACGGGAGTTAAATTTGGTTTCTCTTTTCCGAGTTCGATTCGCTCTTCTACCCGACCGATTTTCATGATTGAGGTCTTTTACCCACTGTACTTACTCGACCAAAAACATAATTTGATTATTTTTTTTATTTTTACTTCAATTTAAGATCTATTTCACCAGTTATAATTTTATGATCCTATATATTTTGGTATGAGAACCTCCAGTGAAATACCGGCTTTCATTTAAGCTATTAGTTGTTTAAATTGAACGAGTTTTAAGAAACGCAAGGTAAACAACCAACATAAAAATTATTTTTTATAAGGGCTTTCTATTATTACAAGTTAATCTCTCCAGTATTGTTTATGTTTTATATGTTTTAGACTCAAAATAATCAGTAAATTATAGGCTTTAATTTGAGCTATTGATCGTTTGAATTAGTTAAGCTCATCAAGATACTGGATTACTCAATCAAAAATAATAAATTTGATTATTTATTGGATATTATATTCATTTTAACGCTGCGGAGCAACATGGGTCATCTAGTTTGTTATGAAAATTACGACTGTTAGCATTTCATATTCGTTCTCTCGTTTATACCACGAATGCATCTAGTATTCGTAGTATTTGGACGAGATAGCACTTGGCCAAGATAGCACTTGGGCAAGAAAGCACTTGGACTAGATAGCACTTTGACGAGATAGCACGTGGACGAGATGGTACTTGGATAAGATAGCACTTGAACGACATATCACTACATCGTGTCGCACGATTGCTTTTACAATAATATCCAAGGTTTTATGACAACACGTCATATTTTTTTCTGTGTCCTCGTTTGAATTGGCCTGGCCTGGAGGTCCATCATGATATGGGACCGCTGTTAGTGGACATGTCCATCTGTCCCGATGGGCGATGGTGACACTATGAAATTATAACATTTAAACACAAATCTGTCGCATTCCTTAAGCTACCTCTGGAAATGAAGTTTTTGTGTTTTAATGAAAGAAAATATGTAGTTTACCTATTCATGTGTTACTTACGTGACATTTAATGGATTTTGAATACTTACTGTTTTTCAAATACAAACCTTTAAACGCATAATATTCAATAATAACTAGCTACTTGTGACCACTTGTCATATGTAATGCTATTGACAAACTACAAATTTATATTGTAGGGATTTTCAAATTTGTTAGTAATTGATTACTCAACATTTCAAACATTAGACGTCATAATGCTTTCACCATCTTAATACAAGTTTGAAAGCAGCTTCTGTAGGCTAAAAATCTAAATTTAGTAGAAGGGGGTAGGATCTATAATTTCAATTTGGCTCTAAAGGAACTGGTTCAAACGTTATCACATGGTTATAACCATCAAGATCAATCTTATCTAAATTAGAACCTCCGTGACAGATGTTACTGCCTCCAACCAACCATGACCCAGTAAATCAATTGCCGGGGCTTTATCGACCCTTAACTATTGAGGAGAGTTGGCATGATTCTAACTTCCATTATGAGGTGACCACCCATCAACTAAGTATTATATTCAATAGAAGTGTTACATTAAATTAATATTATAGCCCTTACTCTGCTAAGAATATTGAATGAACGTTTATCTCCATCAAACAATCTTACTATTTATTTAATAATGGTTTAAATACCTTATACTGTCGAAGTGATCCCTAGTGACTGTAGGCTACTGCAGTTTCACCCCGAAGGGAACTTCTTCAGGTTGTAAAGGACATCAAATTTCATTCCAGAGGAAGTCGTCAAAATCCATCAAAGTCACATTTACACAAATCACGGACGAACGCACAAACAAATAAATAAACATTACAAAACCCCGGTACCAGAAAACACGATATGCACGGAGAACAGGTCTGTCTAGACTTGAAGTTACTATTTAAAATGAATTTACTCGGCTCTATTCACCTTTTGTTATTAAATTAAAAGTTGTGACAAAAAGTAGTAATTACTACAAAATTTACGTTTTGTATCGAAAGGCATGACGGATTGAAATAATTTTTCGTATACCTTTAGACGGTATGTAATCCAACGCAAGAATACTAAAATAAGCTTAGGCATTACAGTTTTATCCCTTGAGCAACCCTTCGGTGGCTAGCGCATTGCAGACGTTTGTAAATAGGTAAATCTTTAAACCCAGGAAAATACGGAGGGCTGAGTAGAATTTACCTTTTTGCTTTTGTGTGAAAACATCTCCGCCTGCAGTTTAATTGAAAATATAATATACATATTCAGACTTTTTTTTACTATTTGTTTCATTCATCCTCATTGTCATTGAATAGTCATTTATTCAGTCTTTAAACAGTACATTATTGTAATTGACATCGTCATTATTATTGTAAAAAGATATAAGGTGCAATACTTATATAATTAATAAAATTAGACATGAAAAATCCAAAATATAGGTTGCCCTTAGTTTAACAATTAACAGGTTTAAAATAATTTTAAAATAGGCAAACTTGACAAACTTCAATTATGAATGACAGTGGGTCTTTCTTAAAAAAGGCTAATGGTTATCACAGGTGTAACAATGAACATAGGCTAGAGGGACAAAATTTCTAACATTATCACAGATGGAATATCCACTCTATTTTATTTTTCAGCATTGTGTTATCGTTTATGTATAAAACATAAATTTTATTATTTTCACTTCACAAACGAATTGCTGCAGCAAAATTTGTCATATTATCTGCCAAGGCTAACCACAACGCTAAGGCCTAATTTAATCTATAAATGAAGCTATTACAAGTTTATAAAAATAAATTGTCACTATTAGATAACTTATTTCAACCAGGGGAAATCAAATTCACCAGCGTTTACCACTTCACAATTGATCGAGCCAATTTAAGTTAGCCCGAGCAGCCTTTACAGGCACGGAGTGTTCGATACACACACACAATCAAGATTGGTTCTTCAATCAGATTAGAAAGTCCAATTTCTCGGTTCGTTCTCAAAAGGTTGTATAAAACACTTTTAAGTGCTGAAAGCTGTCTTCATTTCTATGGAGCTTCAGAACTATGTTACTGAAATGTGTTTTTCACCCCCTGCTGATCGTCGACGTCATTTTGACGTCACACCCCTGGAGAGGGTACAATTCCACTCTGTACTCATGGATTATAACGGAATCTAACCTATTTAATGTGGGCAAGTAATCAGTGAACCGGATGACATTATTTGAAAAATCTGGAGATGTACGGCCCGGAATTGTACCCACCTGGATGTGTACTCATTAAAGTCATTAAATCAGCTGATTTCACTGTTGGCGTTTCTATTAAACATCCGGTAATAAAATGACATAACCTAAAAATTCACTTAAATGACATTTTATATACAACTAAAAAGTTAATATGTGTGTTATTTATTTTAAGTTAACAATGGCGGTAGGAAATACTTGTTGTATTGAGTGCAGGCCGCTCACGAAGTATATGGCTAAAGCTTCGTGCGGTCATCTACATTCTTGAGCGGCAATGACGTAATTTGCACCCTTAATACACAAGAAGCTATTGTTTATAAATAGATTTATTATCACGTTCAATAAATTGTAACAATAATTATTCTCAAACATAATTTGAACTAGGTACTTCGATAAAATTAATTTAAAACTCCACAACGATGAAAGTAAAAATTGTGAAACACACTGTTTGCAGAATCTATGAAGGAAGTGTATGAATCAAATGAATAAACGGAATAAACCACTAGAGGTCAGATGGTCATTAGTTGCGCAGGTGGCCGTGGGGGTTGTGTAGCGCTAGTGTCGTTCGCCCACATCAGACGCGTCAGTTTACCGCCGGAAGCCGCCTTGGTTCCCGCGCCCGCGTCACCGCGTCCCGCCAAATACGCACGACCGCGGTCAACTGTTTTGCAATAATATTGGACAAACCCTTGCAAAGTGAATGAAAAATGTATTGAGTGGTATAATATGTCGATTTATCAATAGTTAAATGTTTGTAAGTATGTGGAATCAACTAATTTACAATTGGGCGTGGTGTCACAATTTTATTAGGTGTCAATACATTTGTTTTAAATAAGAAATTCAGAAATTATTATTAATTATTGTGTCCATCGGGTTTATAATATGTAGTCCTAATTGACTAATTATGAGTTTTCTTGTGACAAAAATGTGGACTAACAATCATTTTTAACCAACCAACTTTGAAAAAAAAAATTAGTATTTATATTTTACAATACAAGTTAATTGTCAATTATTTTGCATAATGATGAAAATTCAAATTATGTCAAGCTTCTGATATAATAATATTCAAGTATTTATTATATTACAATAACCATTCATTTTAATTGTTAGAATTTTTTTAAATTCAGTAGCACAATCTTTTCCTGCATGTTTTACGAGACACATACAAAAAAAACCTATTACGATATCTTGACCATTATCCAATTTCTTAACACAGAACCACTTTTTCTCATGTTTATCTTAAAATTCAATTTAACGTCAAATCAAATTTCAACAATAAGAACTTTCAATAGTATAACTATATATTTCGTTACGTGAATGAATTATCTAGCATGCATTTATATTGGGATGTATGTTCTGGTAAAGAACAGGCTGTCTACAATGTTAAACAGCCTTCACACCAAAGACTTATTCTCGAAATATTTACATAACAATTTTAATTTTATTCCAATCGAGTAACTGATGCCGTTTGTAGTACTGAACGGAGATTACATCCTTTACGAACTTAATTTAATATGAACGTATTCTATTAAGTTTCTTAGCTTGTGTGTACATTTTTTAGATAGTGCTGGTACCTAAAGTAAGTAGTAAGTAGTATTCTATACAAGTTATGCATGACAAGAATTCTTTCTAGGCAAACATTAGTTATTTGTGCAGCTAGTGAGCAAAGTGAGCAATTGACTCACTCGAGAGTAATACTTACTCACGAGCCGTAGGCGAGTGAGGAATGGTTTCTCGAGTGAGGCAATTGCACTTTGCACTCGAGTTGCACATTATATTTTTCCTACAGTTACCATAAAACAAATAAATTGGTAAAGAAACGTAACATATTATTACATAGAAGTGAACTTTTAATATGACATTTAATTTTACAACAGTACAACAGCTGACCAGCTGATTTACAGCCAGTGCTGCCAACGTATTTCGCGCGCATACGACTTTTGTCTGCATGTTACGCGCTCACTATTTCGTGCCTTCACGTTGCAAATCTGGAGTGAGACAAAGTAATTAGAGTGAGACAATGTTAACATTGTCTCACTGGTGAGTGAATTGGCCACTTTGCTTTCTCAAATCGGTGAGAGAACATGTACATTGTTAGGTAACTGTAGGAAAAATTATATTTGCCTATACAACGGACCCAACATTACGTTTAACAAACACCAGTTGCTTTACTCGTGCTTCACAGGGCGAGGATAGATGAAAGATAGCTTTTTCAAAGTAACAATTTTGCTAGAAATGTATCTCCATGTCCTATCATATGAAATTTCATATTTCTTATAAGTGTCATATAAAAAAATTTATATGTTTTAGTTTTATGCTGTATATTTTCAAAGCTGAATAATCCGGTGAAAATATATTCAATAACGTTTGGGGTGGGTTTCGCTTATAAAAATGGTTGAAAACGCGGTTTTCTTAAAATGTCAAATAAAGACAATCAATGTGCACCTGTCTTCAAATTTGTTGACTCATAAATCGATAGTGTTTGAATAAAGATTGATGACCCACTCCAAACCTCCCCCTTCTGTGTTAGTTTAACGGCTTGGGAAGGTATTATGCATACTCAGCTGTTCATGTTAAGACGAGGATCCTCTTGTTTCAGTTATGACTTGTCCTCAAGCTTTAAACCAGTTAACTTAAATTAAGTCGCCTGTAACAGTATGATTTTTAATAGTTTATATCATGTTTTTCATAAATAAAGTGCATATATAAATCTTATAACATAACATAGTATAACATATGATTCTAGTTTTATTAATCGTTTTATAAACTACGACTTGATGTATTGCAAAAAATAATTTTCATAACTGTAATGAAACAGGAAATATGATTCTGGACAAGTTATTTTTAGTGATATTCAATTTTGTTTTATAATTTTGGAAACTATTCGTTGACTGTTAACCTTCGTAGTTTTAGCCAATTACTATATTAAACAAAAATCACGTTATCACTGTATTTCATTTAAGCTATTTTTGAATACACAATACATTTTTCTAATACACAATGCAATAATTAGGCTATACAACAATATATATATATATTAGTGAATTTACCATATAGGGAATACGATATTACCGTAAGTATTATGATAGCATCTAGACCCGGACCGTTTTTTCCCGTTTTGATGTCCCGAGTGGTCAAAAACATCACCTTTTCAAATTTATATATAGGGTGTCCCTGAACTCTCTAACGACCTTTTGAGGTATTTAGGCATTCCTGGACCAAATACGAACTGAAAATAATAAGTTAAAAATGTCTGAAATTGAAGAATTGCCCGTTCAGCCACCATTTTGTCTTTTTCACAAAACTATTTTTATTTGTCAACGGCAAAACTAGAGAGTTGATGTCACAAAATAACTAGTCAAGCTGTTAAACGTGCAAACCACTCACCATCAAAAACCATAAATTGATTAACCTAAGAAACAGAAAAATGTACATTGTGCAAATGGCGTTTATATCAAATAAGAGATCTGGTCCCACACAATTTTTGTACTGTTCATTCAATATTCTGTAAGATATCCAACGTTTTATTACCTATTAATTACGTATGGAATACACCACGTAGTATGTAGATAAAAATATATGCATTTAATTATTCTCAGTGCAAATTGAAATCATTAAACTAAAGCCAACGTGTTTGAATCAATCTGTTTATTTAGATAGCAAAACGCCCTCATTCTTATGCATAAGTAGGTGGTGTGAATGGGAGTTCCTGTTCTCTGTTTGTCGAAACCTACCTGCTAAGCCTAACCCCTAGATAACCAATTACACACTTTGCGTCGTCTATTTTTCACTACTTAAAAACAACAATCTAATTCCCTCAAACTAGTTTGTTTTTAAATAATTAAATCCCTTCTCCCTTCCCCAAATACTTATCCCCCCTTTCTCCAAATGCCTATCTCTTATGATCATTAGAAGAAGAAGAAGAAGGAGAAGAAAAAGTGTTTATTAAAATAAAATATCTATACAGTGTTTTTACATAAACACAAAGAACAATGGTCAAAGACCGTCTGTTTTGTGGTTGACACTGATTTTACAATATTTTAAATTTCTTTAATAGAGTCCATAATCATAAACTATAATTCATTAAATTAACTGATTTCTAGTAAAAAAATATGTTCATTAGTTTTTTTTCTTTGGGAAATAAAGTTTATATCAGAATAATCAATGATATATTAAATATGAATTGTAATTAAAAACTCGTAATACCTTTCATTATATTTACGTATGTGATTAATTTGTTCACACGATGTCTAGACCCGATTGATAAGATAAGAAATAGATGGTTAGTCTTTCTAAATACTGAACTTTTTATAGCATTAGATTAAATAATCGTAATATTGTTTCAGTTTTCTCTATTACTCATATATTTGAGTAAATCTTTTTATGATTATTAAATTATAAATGGACTGCCTCTTTATGCTCACAGTAGAAGAATATAACGTTGACTTACAATTCCACAATGATAGACTTTCCAAACAATTTTTTCAGGTGAGCAATAAGAAATCGAAATTGTTTGAAAGGTTTTAAAAACAGTATTTTTAACAAGGTGCGGAAGTTTTTTTTTTAACTTTACGGTAGGAATATAAGTAAATTGTAATACATTTGATCCCATACTACAGTCCGTGAATATGCTACATTTTCCTACGACTCTTAGAAAAAAAGTATTTTAACCAACTCCGCTTTCTTCTCCATTAAGACATTTTGTTCTTAATCTTTCAGTCACATATTGGTACAGTAATAAGGTTTTTATTTTACCATGTGTAATTTTTCCCTCCTGTATCATCTTGATATCGACAATTATTTTGAGTTTTGATGACTTTATTTCCTGTAACTATGTGTACATTTAATGAAATAAAAACATCTTGATTGATTAATTTTGGTGATTTAAGGCATATGTAAAAATAATTGATCCATTTCATCATTTGAATTCAAATATTATATAGACATTTTATGGCTTTGTATAGCTTACACTGGCTTATGCCAGTCAACCTACCCTTTATATGATTGTGGGTTTATATTATTTGTTGTACAACATGATTAAATTTCACTGCTTTAAAAAAGGTTTTATTTAACAATATTTTCATTTGGGCTTTAAAATAGCCTACTCACTGCACCGTTCAGAAGTATCAGTTGAAAATATAGAATGCATTTGCTATAAAGACTAAGAAGCTTTCACTAAACCAAAAATAATAGGAAGGAGAAAAGAAGAGAATCGAAACTGTTTGAGTCTTGTTTTTATACTTGTGATAACAAAATTCTTTAAGGGATGTTTACCTGCTAATTCGTATACTTAACTTATTATGCTATCTACAACCAGCCACAGGATTTTAAAATAATTTTGGTATTCATCCTTCTGCGAAAAATATTATTTTATAAAATTGTAAAGTGATAGCATTATTTTATATTTTTTTAATAATAGAACAAATTAATATTTATAATAGAACATTACTAATTTTATTGTATTTGTATAATAAAGAATGCTAACATAAATTATACTAAAAAGATAATTATACATTAATCAAACAAGTTATAAACATGAAATGGTTATCTCGCCGATGCGGCGTTGCATCCATGATTGAAACTAGAAAATAAAGTAATGCATATTCATGAGGTAAAATTTATAATCCAATAGTGACTTCATCTATTCTTGAATAAATAGCTAAAAAAACACGAGTCGTTTATATACTGGTATCTAAAAATAGATTCGTTCTGTTTTTATCTTTTGAAGCTTAAATTAAAATTCTGATTGGGTTT